GACGATGAGGGTCAAGTGACGTAATGCTTATAAGTTGGTGCGCCAAAAATGTTAATTTCGCCGACACGAAATTACGCATACGGATGTGTGGCTAAGGATTAATCGGGAGTGAGAGTCCGTGCCACACTAGTGGGGCTAAGTACTACTGTACTACTGTCAGTAGGCCTGGCCTTGAACTTGAAGTACTAGTCATGCTAGTACTAGTAGAAGTACTACTGGATAGCTAAGTAGGAAGCCCTAGGCCTTCCTATTTAGCTACCCAGTGGACCTAAACTAAAGCCTACCCGATCATAGGCCTACCTCATAAGCCTTATCGCTAATACCTACCACATGGCTGATTTTGCACAACTGTGGAAAGGCATTGTGGGAAGGGAAAAGGGGCAATGTTGGCTCTTTTTCCTTCCCATGATGCCTTTATACTATTGTGCAAAATCACTCTTGCAGTAGGCCTACTAGTGATCATAAGGCTTATACCAACATGACCGGTGACCGATACTCGCGAGGCAGTTGTGTCCGACATGTCTGACGCATCCATGGAGCTATTTCCTAGCCTGCATTCTTTGCGAATTCATGTGAACATGAGATGCAGTTTGTTAAAACCTTGGTCTCGTGCATTCTCCATAGTTTCTGTCTTCATTTACATACATGTACATGTAGCTTAAAAACTGCTCCAGAGGCATGAGTCGCAAAAAGCCTACAATGAAGTTTCCTGCAATGGGTAGGGCCTTCATTATGTACATGTTGTAATGTTTCAGTGTTGAGTCTTCAAGTATATATGACGTTGGCGCATAACTTGGAACAAGAACAATGTTAGAATATAATTTATGGACTGGCTAATATGGGCCCACCGTAGTCAAGTAGTGGGAACTGTAACATGACTTCCAAAGTTTATACATGTGTTGTGGCACTGTACAGTTATTGCTAAGCTTAAAATGATTCAATTTCCACCAATGTGGTATACTTCTTCATGGTATTTTAGGCCAACTGTTACTACTGATCAATTGGTACACAGTCTATATTTTAACGAGCTCACGGAGCCAAGTTTGAACCAGGCGTTGGATGTCCTTTTTTCCCTCTCATTTTCTTAATTTTCTCAATCAGATCCTATTACTTTCCAAACATGTTTCTCTTTTCAGTTTCAGTAAATTCATGCTTCATGGGGATTTTTTTAGAAGGGAAATATTGAAAGATCCATTGATTACAAGTAATACATGTACATGTACACGTAGATATCGCCAGACTGATGCAACAAAGGGAGACAGCAACCTGTCTAAACTTCTGTAACCACCTGTATAGCCACTGTACATTGATTTAACACCAACAATGCTATACATGCACATGTACATGTAGCAAGTTCTCATTGATAAAATTTGGGTACATACAAACATTCACATATCAAATATTCTCTGCATGTTTCTCGTACGAAATATACACTGAAGTTAATTTACCGTTGATTTTAATACTGATTGCACATCACATGAGCTTTTTACTCTTTGCAGCTATTGTGTGAGACGTTTTTCCAGTGAATATTTGGAAAAATTATAGACACATGCAGATAGTAAAATTTTATTGCATGTTTAAACTACTCAATGATCATTATAAACTCACGATCATTGTTGAAAGTCCGACTCTGAAACATAAGAGGTGACTTCAGTCCATTTGTGGACTGCTTCTGGTCGGAATCCTGTCTCTGTACATAGTTGCATCACCAATGTACATGTAAGCACGTCAGAACCAGACTAAAGACTTGCCATGGAAATATTTTCAAGTTCCACTCCACATGTCCAGTTGCCATGCCAGTAAAAAAAGTAAACACATATATTAGAGAACTGGTCCATGGTAAAATGCATACAGTACCTTTTTTTCTTTACTTGATGGCACAGGTTGGTGCAGTGGAGGAGATGTCCCAGGCAGATCAACAGAGGAGAAATAACTTTTTCCAGAGGGCAGTCAGTGAAAGCCAGCGGTGAGGTTTATAGCTTTGGTGCAAACCAGTCAGGCATGGACAGATGTCAGAGCATGTTAAGGTCACAGTATTCCAACTTGGGGAAAGTGGAGAGACTTCCTCAACTTGAATAGCTAGAGACCTACATTGTACCTTGCTGTAGTTGTTCCCTTGCCCTTCCTCTGAAGTCTGATCCTTTTTGTCCTGTACACCAGAATGAGTGCTGAAGTCGAGAGATGCCAACAGCGACACGAGGCTCTGCAGGCAGAGCTGGGAGCAGGCAACCTGCATGCCTGGACCATGGAGCATGCGTCCGAGGTCACTGTCACCCTGCCTGGTCCTTCCCAGTCCACCGATCCCATCCCAGAACTTCCGGAGCCCATGGACTGTAACAAGTAACCTATGCTGGTCGAGGACTTCTCTGGATGGAATGATTTTTAGAATTGATACTCCTTTATAACACGTCTTTGGTTAAAACAAAGAATGTTGCATGATCTTGAAAAAGGTACATTGCAACTTGTCTGTTTGTTTTTCTGTGTTTTCCTTCAATGTCCTGTCAATGAGGCATTCATAGAATGAAAACAAAGAATTTGCTATCTTTTGACTAAGTTTTGTGTGGCTGACTGATCCAAAGCTATGCTTGCCTGCAACATTCTGGGCTTTGCAATTACAGAGCAGGATTTACACAAGATCCTAGTGGAAAAGTTTATTACTGTGTTTGTTTGAATTTCTGGTCATCAAAGACATGAACGTACTGTACGGTTGTGTTGTTCATACGTTCACCCTCTGTATTTCCTAAACAAATATGATTGTAATGAATAGGTAAAAAGGTTGTCTCCTTTAAATGTAGTACATGTAGAAAGTAAGTTAATTGATAAAACAAGGGAAACACCACTTTAGTCAAATTCTACATTTCTCCAACTCACTCATTTAATAAAAAAAAAAGGAAGAGGGATATCAGCCTATTTTCTACATTTTGTTAATGAAGGCACATTTTACTACAAAGAGGGTGGATTAGCTTGAGTAAGTTTCAGGCATTATAAATATGTACAACGCTTGCTTATATTTACAATTACAACCCTAGCGAGGTTTTTAAAAGTCTGAGAAAAATCTCTGTAAAAGGAAGTTAGGTGACAAAGGATGTGGACGGCTTGCTTTATTTTTTTGTACTATAAATGCATAGGGACCAAAATAAATACTGGAAGAACGTTACTTAACAATTAACTCTCTGATCCCTAAAGCACATGTATTACAGGTGCCAACAACAATTTGAAAAACATAATTATAAAAGTGACATCATCAGATAAAAATAACAAAATCAGAGAAAAAAAATTTCCCATAATTTGTTATACAAGTCCCTCGGAGTGGCATAAACTGCCTTACTTTTCATCGGAATGGTACAAACTGCCTCATGTTTCATCGGAATGGTACAAACTGCCTCACTTTTCATCGGAATGGTACAAACTGCCTCACGTTTCATCGGAATGGTACAAACTGCCTAACGTTTCATCGGAATGGTACAAACTGCCTCACTTTTCATCGGAATGGTACAAACTGCCTCACTTTTCATCGGAATGGTACAAACTGCTTCACTTTTCATCGGAATAGTATTAACTGCATGGAAAGTGTCTGTGGAGTTTCACTGACTGACAATGAGGGTGTATTCTGATGGCAGTGCTGGCCAACTGCTCATCAGTTCGTATCAGATTGGACATTCAGCTTTTTTTCTCCAAATACTGCATATGCCTAAACATTTGAAACACTTGTGATCATATCTGCAGGAGTACACTGAACCCAAAACGTGTTTGTTGCTTGAATGAAACCTTCAACACTTCACAAAATACAAAGCAAGTACATGCAGGTAGGCTATTGCTGATTACTGAAAATAAGAATATGGAAAATAAGGAATAGTCTGTTCTCAGATCAGGATCCTGGACAGCTATGGAGAAATTCACCTAGCCTCTTGAAGTATCACTTTTTGTTCAACTAAATCAGCAGTTTTTAGTTTTTCTGGCACCAAAAACGGATGCAAATGCTGTTATGGATAAATTCAAGGTTCTGTGGTTGATGAAATATTCTTGCAATTTGATCGGCAAACCACAAGGTAAGAAAAAAGGGATAGAAACCACAAAGTTGAATAAAAATCCCAAAAATTTTATCCAGAAAATCCAAAGGAGACTGACCTATAATTAGCAAGGGAGGAAATTCAGTTGAAGTCTTATAAAAACCCAAATTCTGCCTGACACAGCTTGCAAAAATATCAGATCAACTTGGTAAATGTGGGACACATTATGTAATATTTTTTTTAAGCAGCGCAAACAGTGACAGCATTTAGTTCTGTACAGCCATCAGCGATGGGGGTTGGTTGCGGATTGTCCTTGACGGGGTACCCACTGCTCGTCTGTCGGCTTGAGGTCTGGGCTGGGTTTGACGCATGGCAGACTCCAGCGTTTGCTGTACAAAGGAAAGAAACACAAGGGCTTGGTGAAACTCCATGCAGGAAATGAAGATGATCATGTCTTGGCAGTCATTCCTTTGGCAAGGAATGTACAGGTATTTTTCATCTGAATGTGCACAAATTTGTCAGAGCTCTCTTACCCGTCTATCGGTGCGCATCCTTGCATTGTAGAAGGAGGCAGAATCAGGGTTCTCCATTAGAAGCTGGGATTGTAGACGCTCAAATTTCTCTCCTTCATCTTCCGGCTTGTCAGGAAAACATCAAAATATTTATTGACCTTACTGCCTTCAAGGCAGAAACATACCACAGCAAGTGCTAATGGGTCGTCTGATTCACATGCTTACAAAACATATTTCAAGAGGAGAGGAGTTTACAGTCTGTCTGTGCTTTCATAAACTAGGAAAACGGTTTATCAGCCACCATCCATTGGCAGCAAAAGCGGGGTCAGAGGAAAGAGTTTTGTACGCTCCCGAAAAGGATGACCAAAATGGGGGACCCTTAAATTTGTAACGCTTTCTACAGTTACTGGAATGAAACAGTTTCCTTCCAAAAATTCATTCTGAATGAGAAAAGACAATGAGAGAAATTTAACAACGTCCCCCAAAAAAGCATCTTCTCTTTTTAATGCAGTCTTCTTTGACATGTATGAGGTAGAGAATGAAAAGCTCGAAGTGATTTCATAGTTTATCATGAAAAGAAAAATATTTGATGCTGTGATGGGACAAGGCCAGAAAAAAAGACATGGAAACCTTCCGATGCAATTCCCAAAGTGTATATTTCAACTATTCTCTCACAGCTTTGAATCAGAACTGCGGTTAAAATTTTGAAGCTAATCCTACAGTAAAACAACTTCCAGAATGCATGCTTTCTAGACTCTTGATGCTATACTCACCATGTCTCCGTTATACATGGTGCCCAGCCTCATCCCAAAACCTGCCTGTGCGCTGGTCTGCTGGTCTTCGCTACTCAAGAAGCACTCAGAGTACCAAGTGTCAAACTCTGGGAAGAAAGAAAAGAAAGTGCCGTAAGAAAGGAACTGAGAGATTCTCGTAATAGACTTCAATGAATTTTCTCCAATATTTTGTCATTATCAAACATCTCTCACAGTTCGATACTGTGCAGAAGGAAACCCGGGCAGAAACTGAAGACACAGTTACTGCCTGGTGAACATCACAGCCATTCATGGAAATGTTGATCTTCAGACAACACAAGCAGGCAGCCTCTTGTCAAGCATGTCCCAGAAATGATGCAAAATTACGTAGACAGCCTTGGTTCCCCTGGCAAGTACACTCATTCTGATCTGAGACACGATGGAGGGGAAACAATCGTCTATTTGAATGAGGGCTGGAGTTGTGGGATGCTCTTTCGACACACTAACCTTTGAGGAAACAATTTTTTTTCATAAAAAGTCAGGGCTCTGATATTGCTAACAATACAAGTATCAATATGGCGAAGAACGGCAGCAGCAACACAAATAAAAAAAGAATATATACACAACCATGAACAAGACAAGCAACCACACTGTACACTGTTTGTGACTCCGGCACGAGGTTCTGTTTCTGAGTCTCCCTCACCTGTGATGAGCCTCTGTCTGCATTGGTCCACCAGCTTCTGACAGTACTGCACCTCTGACTTGACCTGCCGCAGTTCATCGTAGTCCAACCGGTAGGCAGCCTTCAGCTCCTTCAGCTTTCGGATCAGCTGGAACTCTTCTTCTGAGATCACCAACTCACCGTTTTCAGTGGCAAAATCTCCTGGAATTCATCAAAAACAAGAAAGGAAAACAAAAACCTGGTGCCGCTTAGACATTTTATAAAAGGTGGAAGTCCTTTTTCTGAATTTGAGACAGATTTAACCTTAATTGCACATTTACACAGCCAGCCACATGTTTCTCGAATTATGAATAACATGCCTTTATGAGTGGAAAAGAAAACGGCTGTATTTTATTAGTGAGTTTCATTGCTGAGGAATATCTCTAAAACTAGGCCAAATTTCACGGCGCTGATGAGCAAACGATTTTGACCTTACAGAGGCTCCATGTATTTCATGCAGACCATAAGCAGTAAACACAGCAAAAGCAGAAACCTTGGAGGAAAGTTTTTCTTATCTTTGTGTCATAATAATAGAAATCTCCATGCGTGCGCAACCGTCGGCACAACCAAGCCAAGTACTGCCATGAAAAAGTGCTTAGTTAGCAAATTTTCCGCTATACAAGCATATTGTTTCTGCTATAAACTGTTAAGCAGCTCTGTGAAATCGGGCTGTGTTCTCGCAATATCCTCAATCGACCAACAGGTGAAAAATTGATTGGAAAAGGGCAGTTCTCGTGTCAGAGAATCTTCTCTGCTGCAAGTGATTACTGACAATCTGCTCACCTTGCTCAGCTCTATCGTTCCTGACTTTGTCGATGGCCTGTCGCGTCTGGTCAATGTCCTCCTTGGTGGTGTTGATGGTCTTGGCCAGGTCTCGGCACTGCTTCTTTTTAGCTCCGAGAATATCTGGTGAAGAGGAAGGAAAACCCAGTGATTCAGGACTGATGACCAAGACCTATTCTGAAAGCACGCCGGACATGCGGTTGAGCAGTTGTTTAAAGATGTGCAGAATGTGTGGTTGTGTGAAACAAGCTAGGGAACATTCCAAAAACAGATTCATAAATACCTCTGACAGTTCACCCATTCCTACCAGTTGAGAGCCTGGGTGGTTTTTATCCATTGATTATTAAAAAGTACCACTGGTTTAAAACAGTATCCTGGTTCCACATTCAAATCTTGACTCCTGCTTTATGGACTCAAACCCTAAAACACGATACTCATCAGTCTCATCTGGCATCACCAGCCAATGAGTCCACATTTCATAGAGCTGAAATTTGACTCTACACCCGCTTATCTGCCATCTGCATCAAACTGCGCAGCATGCCACACTGCAAATTTCCATATAAGGAGACTTTACTAATACGTGGATTGGTCAATTATTGTTCATGGCTCCTTTCCCCTAAACATACTACATTACTCTTACAGTCCCAAATCGTCCAATTTTAATATGATTTTTATATACACCCTCGGGGAACAGGGTTAAAATATGATTATACACCAGGCAAGAGCCAAAACCAGAGTTACTTAGCAAGTGAGCTTTGGAGGCCTTGGTGAAACGAGAGATACAATTCTCTGGAAATGACTGAGATTGATGGGTGGCAGTGTTGTAGTACAGACCACGGAAGACCTTCACAAGACCAACACAAGACCTCCAGTCTGAATTCAAGTCGCAAACTATTCAAATGAACGCAACAAAAGCTTTTCTTTGTCATTGTCCACCCTGTTACTTGTGACTGGTCTTGTGAATGGTCTTGTGCACAGTCTTGCATCTGGTCTTATGTCTGGTCTTGAGATGGTCTTGTGCACAGTCTTGCGTCTGGTCTTATGTCTGGTCTTGACTTCAACACTGATGGGTGGATGATTTTTGCTACAGCTCACCTTTGTTTTCAATGAGTATGCGATTGATCTCGCTCCCCCTCTCGTGCTTGAACTCCTCAAATGCAACAGTGCGGAGCGGCGGGGTGCTGGCCCGTGGCAGCTGGGGCAGCTCGGACAGAGGCCCACCGGACCCAGCCGCTGAGGCCGTCTCGGCACGCACCGCCGACTCCCTCATCTCCAAGGGAGCGGGGCGGACCGGTGAGGACTGCTCTGTGGGGTGGGTGCTGGGGACAGGACTGGTCGTGCCTTGGACAACCTTGGTGGGTTGCGGGCTGTGGGGTTTGAGGGAAATAACAATAATTCTCTGCAGGCTTTGTGCCGATGGCATTCTGCCTTAACCCTACCTAATACTAGTTCCAACAGGAGTTTTTATTGGGAGGGGGAATCCTGACGAAAAGATTAAGTAACAGCTTAATAGCTTTTTGGATTAATGTGCCTTTCAAAGTTATCCTCAAAGTTTAGAAGTGATTGAATTTGAAATTTAGTGTTTACATTAAAACAAAAGTGAACGGCCCATCAAACGCCTTATAAATCCAACTCCCGATTTGGTAAATTAGGACAAGATCTACTAGACAGTGTCCATTCATCCAATTTGTCTGCTGCTGTCATCCATAAGTAAGCATTGGATGAATGCAAGGATCTCAATGTTTTTTAGCTGTGTCTCATGGAATGGTAAAGGAATAGTCTTTCTTAGAAAAGGTTTCTACTTCATTCCAAGTAAGGCCTAGAATCGGAACAAACCTTGCTCTGTCTTTGCCCCTCTTGGATTTGGCTTTCTTGGCTGATACAATGGCAGAGTGAGTGGGCTTTGCAGAGGAAGGGGCAACACCTAGGCCGAAACCCTGGCCATCCACTTCACCGACATAGGTGGCCCCTCCGTTGTCATCAAACACCACACCTGCCTGAAAGAGCATGAAACACAAGTTGCTACCAGAAATCTTAAAAATAAACCAAATTAGCAATTAGCAGCCATGACAACGACGGTATGGTGCGTATGTTTTCATACAAGTCGTACATATGCAGCAACAAATGGGATGTTTAGAATTTGGCAAAAAAGTGCACCTTAACTTTAAGAACACATGCTAGCACTGTGCCACCCCAGGAGGGTGTTCCCTTGAATGAGTCTATGGGCCCTATGTGGGACTGAGCGGGGGCGCAAATTTGCCCAGCAACAGAGGCTCCTTTGGTAGGAACTCCACTTCACTGGTTCACGAACCACTATGAGGTGCATGACTTGCGTACACATGGCTACCAACAAAATGAATACCAACATGGTTATTTCAACCGATAAGGGGTGCCTCTTCTCAAGGCGCATACAAAACAGAAACAACAAGAAGCCCCAGTTTACCAGAACTGGTACTGGCAGTCAATATCAAAATCAAGTGTTCCATGAAGCTGTAAAATGGCTAGACATTTATAATAAGCTGGCAATTTTCACAGCAAACTTTTCTGACACAGCATTTGAATTCTAGCTTGAACCTTCTTGGCACTTCTTTTATACTCAGCAGGACATTTCTTTGTCATTAATCAACTTTATACATGCGTATTACAAGATTACTATTCATCTTCGCAGATTTTATGCACAATTGACAGCTGAACATGCAATTTTTTTTGCTGTTCGAACTGTAAAATATGAAATATAAATTACACCTCGTCTCCACTCAAGTTAGTTTAGATGATCTACAGACTGAAGTATGCAGCTGCTTGGATTTTTCTTTGCTGGAAAAAATTACTATGCCTTCGTTTAACTCCCTACGTGTTCATTGGTACTTGGTGGCCATCGTCTTCAGAACTCCTCCTGGCCAAAAAAATTCCACGGTAATAAGCAACGTCTTAATACCTTCTGAGCTGCTGCCACAGCGGCAGGGTCCATCCGGTCGATCAGGGTGTACTTGCTGCGCAGCCGGGCCTCCACATCTTGCTCCATCTGGCCCACCATGCTCTTGAAGGAGGTGAAGACTGTCTGGATCTGCCGGACGTTGACCACGTCCAATTCGTCAATGGTGCCATCCAGGTAGCGCCGGACCTGGCTCTGGATCTCCAGCCGCTGGGCCTCAGACAGAGGCTCATAGTTGACCTGACTTCTGTTGGCCTGCAGCAGAGAAATAACAATTTATGCTGCTGGTCACCAAAAGCCTCCTTGATGTATGGCTAGAATGTATGGTAAGAAGGTAAGTGTGGTAGTAATTGTCTTGAGCACTACCGTTGTCTTGTACCATACATAAATAATGCCTTCAGCATAAAAAAGTATGATTAAAACTGCACACAACATCAAACATTTCTAAAGTCTGAAGATTAGTATGAACTTCTAGAATATCTAAAAAAAAAGCAAATTGTGGTCAAACCTGGAGCTTCATTTGAATTTAATACAATGTAAGGGTTCTTACGCATTTTGCACAGTGGAAGTCAAAAAGAATGTTTGAGTGATATGTTTGAGAAAAGGGTTGAATAAGCTGCAGAGTGCTTGGAAAATGAATGTGGACAAATATCCTCAACAATGACTACATGTGACTTTCCATAGACCCCTCAAACATGGCGTTGTGGAGTGGCTCTAGGGAATGAGCAATTGATCAATCAATTTTTTTTTGGGGGGGGGGGAGAGGTTCACTTCATTTCTCACCAGGGTATCATGCATTGCTAGCTCGTGCTTCAGATGCTCGATTTCCTTGGTGAGTTTCTTGACGAGTACCACTGGATCAAAGAACTCGTTGACGGCCGGCTCAATGTTGATGCCTCGCATGCGGATGGCAAAGCGCAGTGTGGAGATTGTCTCCTCAATCTGGGCCGCCTCCCCCCAAATGTTGGCGATCAGCTTGGTGTTGCAGTTGCCACCTGGGCACAGCACAAGGTGCCACAAAGTGAAGGTAATTTATTAATCCTCCTTCGGTCATAGTAGTCACAGACACAAATTTCCCTTCAGTCATAACAGTCACAATCACAAATTTCCCTTCAGTCCGAACAGCCACAGTCACAAATTTTTCTCCGGTCAAAACAGTCACAGTCACAAATTTGCCTTTGGTCATAACAGTCATAGTCACAAATTTGCCTTTGGTCATAACAGTCAAAGTCACAAATTTCCCTGTGGTCTAACAGACTGCCGAACGAAATACACGTATTTATGTATTGTAAATCCAAGTCAATCACAGTGCAGGAAAGTCTCATTGTGCAATACGGCATGCACACTGCGACGTGCCGGGTCTGTCAGCATGAAGACAATTGTGTACTGTTAGACCGTAACATAGAACACGTTCATGTGAATACGAAGTCAGAAACTTACAGGAAATACAGGGTACTTTTTTGGGGGCACCACTGCCAGGAAGAATGGGGCACATAGCTAGCTTTGGCCGTGGACAAAGTGGAAATTTTCAGGGCACCACGGCCAATTGTTAAGGTGCCGACCGCCATGCCCGTGGTGGCCGCAGTGAAATTTTGTCCAGAATGCATGCTTGCATAGGAGGGAATATGCTTATGTCGACACTTCAACATGCGCACATTAAATTAAATTTTGATTTTAATTCCAAACACTGTGACTAAGCACCGAGGGCCAGAATGCATCAAAACATTGCAAATCCAGGAGCTGTGTTGAGTTTAAACAGATTGGTAGGGTGATGTGTTTGCTCACCGAGTGAGTCCTTGAGAGCGTGGGTCAATTTGGTCTGTCGGTAGGGTATGTGATCCCGCTTCTTGTCAGCCAAGGCGATAATGGTCTGCTCCAGGAACGTCAGCGACTTGTTGATAAACATGGCTTCCTGTTGGGTCTTGCCTTCAGACTGTGGATATAAGACATTACATTGAAATGTCTGCAAGGGAAGCCATCACGGTCACGGTTGTACAATTTTGACTGCTGTGATAACCCAGAAAAACCATACCATTACTGCGAAAAGTGGTGCTTTAATTAAAAAGACTTCTTGCATTTCGGGGGCCACATCTAGTAATAATAAACGGTTTGTAACTCCTGATCATAGAGTACAGGATTTGAATTCAGTAGTTTGTTACTTGTGAGGGTAGACGGCTGTATTGGCTTAGCTATTTGCGCCTGAAATACATGTATCTGCCAAATGAGCAGGGATAACATAGTGCAAAGTGCACCGAAGAACCACTGGTACTGAAATATGCTATGTACAACACATCGATCATTGTTACACATTAAAGCATGGTTTTAGATTGCATGACCATCAACTTACCCCTGTTTTTCCAAGCCTCTCTGATCCGGCCAGGTCGACCAGGTTGAGTTTGCTCTTCATGTACTTGGCAGTGGAGTCTGTCCGCGACCGCGACTCCACGTGGATGGTGAAGATGCAGTGGGAGCGAGATGAGGCCTGGTTTAGGGTATGAGAGGCTATGGCTCGGTTGGTCTCACCCTGGAGTAATGACACAAGTTGTGGAACTTGTTAGAGGAGGATGGCAAAAGTTTGAAAACTGTAATCTGTACGATAGTCAGAAATTCCCAAACTTAATTGCAGATTCCTAGTGTTCTCTAAGATATGGGACTAGTCTGGCACCCGAGTTTTTTCTCCCATTTTACGCACCATGTTTAGGTACCATTTCAAAATTCTTATCAGGTAGTTGTCGGACAGAATGGTCCGAATAATACATTTATTATCGGTTGGCTATCAGGATAAGTGTTCTCAAGTGGCCAACTCTAACTGATAAATGCCTTTACATTGCATTAATTCCCCGGGCTATGTGGTTTAAGTGAAGCAACACCCCCTCCATTATTCACTCAACGCAAGTCACTGTTATCCGTCGGATGGCCCTGTCCTACAGTCAACTGATAGGAATTTTGAAATGATGCCTTAAACGTAGCCATCACACTGGCTGTGCTACACTGAAATTCTGGAACGTCGCATCTTGCACATGACCTTGATGAAAAAACCGAAGCTGTCTAAATGTTTGAAACTGCATTAAATTTTCACAAAAAATATCTCTAGGACATACAGATATCCACTTGACCTGAACTCGAAAAAAAAAGAAGGTTTTGGAGGAGGGGCAGAGGTAAGAACAAGGCTTGTGATCCACATGCTAAGGCTCTTCTACTGCACTTCAAAATTTTATCAGCCCCTGCCAAGTTTGAAATTCAGAACTTGGAGAATGCTGGAACTGGTTGACCTTAAAATATGGCGAGACACAATCAGCTTCCATTGGACTTTACGATATGCTTTGTACTTAACTGATCAGCAGACAGTTCAATTTAAAGAATAACATCTTATTTTACAACTGACGACAATATATTTCAACCAACATCATCTAAAATTTACAACTGTTGACGAAGTGTTTTTGTTACGGCCACAAACCCACAGCCCACAGCAGTTTTGGGGCATGAATTGTGAAGTTGCAACGTACGAAAAAAAGCAACCAAACAGTGTTTTTTTAAATACCTCAAACAGCAGGTTGAGGGCCTCCTCCTCATTTTGGGCAAGATGCAACGACAGCCCCTTGATGTTGACCCCAAACTCGTCCTCGCTGATGGTCATCATGGGCAGGGCCTGGATGGCGTCCGGTAATGTGCTCAGCAGGTCGAACATGGCCTCGTTGTAGATCTCCAGGTAGGAGATGCGGACCGTCACTGCCTGTTCCCCTCTCTCCTCAATTTCTTTGTACACCTGTTGTGCGGATAAGAAGCAGGTTGCATGAAAGCATGGTGCAGAAACCATCGATATCAAATTGAGGGTCTGAGTTTTCTTCAACAACATTTCTTGTAAAGAAATAACTGATTCTTCACCATAAGCAGAGTTCTACGGTGTCCTTTATGTCAGGGAAGCATGGGCGTCACCAGGTTTTCTTCCGGGGTGGAGGCAAAACAGTTTTTACAAGGGGCAAAATTTCCAATTTGGCAAAGCACTCATTGGCTAAAAATGAAAAACAATAAATAGCCAAACATGGGGGTCAATTTTGATTTTTTCTCCCAAATTTGTGATTAAGTCCCCTTCCATCTTTTTTCTCATTTCTTTCTTACCCCCTCTTTTGGAATTTTCCATTTTTTTGGGAGGGGGGGAGTACCCCAGTGCATTACCCAAGCAGGGGACGTAATAAGCTGCATTTCAAGGGCTATCTTTACGTGTACTCAATATTCCCCAATCATCCAATTAAAACTAAAATTTTCACACAGCCCTGAAGATTAGGATTTAACTGTAAATGCCAATTTCACAATAAAATATGGAAAACGTTTGGATAAGCCTTGCTGCTGGCTTTAAAGGCACTGCTGCAAAACTCCTAAATGCCAGACCCCCTAACCACAAAAGCCTTGATGCCTGAACAAACCTGCTAAGTGATGTTTGTTACAAGCAACAATGTCACGATGTGTGTCCCGTCTTTGTCATGGTCCCAAGGCAAAAACAAAAGCAGAGACAGTTGTTGGGAAAGGAAACCTCCATGTACATATATTCCTACAAAATCAGACTGGGCCGTGAGTAAACAGAGTACACAAAATCTACATTTCATGAATAGGGAACTTATAAACGTGAGGACTAATACGTCCCGATAAACGCTCCTTTCTTTCTAAACTTTTAATGTGGCTACACCGTAGATAAAAAGGAAGTACATGTATTTATGTAATCATTCAGATGCCTATGAGGTGTTTATAGATTACCTGAGCAATCGCCCGTGGAATGACACCACGCTGCTGGTAGTTCTCAGTGGTTCCTGTCATGGTGAATGTCTTACCAGCTCCTGTCTGCCCGTAACACATCAGTGTACCTTAGAGGAAAGAAAATAATAACAGCTGACAACATTTACTTTTGAGAAATATGGAAAGGCTGTATAGCACAGTGAACAGAATATTGACAAGAATACAATATAAAATCAGTGCTCTGAAACATGTAATTGCCGAGCTTTCGGTACCTAAGTACCTTCTTCAGGGCAAGCACATTCAGTTCTGAATGAGTGCAGAAAAATCCCCGTTCATTCCAACTTCGAAAATGATTCACCAAGGCGACCCTTGGTCTCTCCGATAACAGCCCGTCAGTCGTTGGTCCCCACCGTTGCTACAGAATATGTGGGGATCATACAGGCATTACAACTTGCATTACACGTTGCCGCTATGGTAAACTGTACATCGGAGAGACCAAGCGTCGCCTTGGTGACCACTTCGCAGAACACTTGTGCAGTGTGCACCAGCAAACACCCGGTCTCACTGTTGCGCAGCACTTTTGCCCACCGCCTTACGCTCTCAGTGATGTAAGTGTCTGCAGCCTGCGGAAAGTGTCATCCAATGTGCAGCGCAAGGAACTAGAGCAATGCGTTATTTTTGAACTTGGAGCACTACAGGGGGACTGAACGTGGATTTTTCTGCGTTCATTCAGAATTGAATCTGCTTGCCCTGAAGATGGTTCTCAGTTACCGAAAGCTCGGCAGTTACATGTTTCAGAGTACTGATTTTATTATTCTTGTCAACATATACTTTTTGTTTGGTTACATAGCATTTCTGTGACTGACAGACAATTCGGCAATGACTGAATATTAGAAAGAGCATCACCAGGGGCAGTTTAGCTTGTATGAGGCAGAGTTAAAAAACAGAGTTAAGATGTTTGAAATGGATTTTGGGGGTACACAGCAACAACAGCAACAAATACACTAAAATTGTGCGCTACAATCATTGAAACAGCTTCTCATTTTTTATAAACAGCTTAATACTGGTAGCAGGAAATTATTTAGAAAAAAAATAATGCAAGTCAGTCTTTTATTCCGAGTGCACATCATTTCTACACATTCTATAAATTTTCCACACAGCTAAGCTGTCAGTTCCACAAGTTTTATGTGACATGTACAATGCTACGCACACATGCACAACAGTACTCTATGTACACAAACTGCAAGTTTTTTAATGACAGCCATGCATGAAAACTTTCAGGCTCAGATAATCTTATCCCACAACACTGAAAAGAATAATAAGAGCATCCCAATTCTAAACAGAATAATGAATGCTGTTTAACATGTAGTTATATTTACCGTTGTATCCATCAAGCAGCTGTCCCACCAGATCGGATGCCGTCTGGTCATAAACCTGATCCTGGCTGGCATTGTGGAGTATCCCGTCCATTGTGAAGGACCAGTCCAACAACTGGTTATTGACCACACCCCGCCGCGCATCCTTCTTGGCATGCACATTGACCGCCTGGGACTCCATCTCAAAGTCAATCAGGTCATGGGCAAACTTGTCCGTGGGCCGGGTGCGGACGAACACCTTCACTTTGCTGCCTCGCCGGCTCATGCTGGAGTTTAGGGACGCAAGGCTTTCAACTTTGGCCTTTGGAGTGAAACAAAATGTATTTCCAACATGTAACACATGTGGCCACAATACAAACAGACTTTGTTTTCTGACCAATGCAAAGACAACACCAGAACTAAAGTGCATCTATCTGCAACACAACAACTTAGCAAATCACAAGATGACTGATGATATCATCAATGACATGCAAGTATTCTTAACAACAGCATCTATACTATATATAACTGACTTTAAGTTACACTGTTCTGAACTCCTTGCACTACATGTACTTGTCCAGTGACGACTACCTGTAAATTCTCAAATATGAATTTTTCTGGCACTGAACCAATGCCACATTTTTAAAAGCAATTTCCCCTTCAAGGTGGGTGAGTAGGTGTATCAATTATAGTAAGTTTAGTGGTTAGCCACAAAGGTGGGTGATTATAGTTTGATCCCCGGGTCAGATCAGCAGCTTGCAATTTGTTTCCCTAATCAAATACGTCAAAATATAATTCTTTCACGTTTTTAAGTCAAATCCAAAGAAAAAGTTTAAGGATATGTCACTTTTCTTTTTGTGATCCATGGTTGTGGGGGCCTTTTTATAAAGGGACATCAAGTCTAATTTGCACCACGTATAAGCTCCATCTTTTGAATACAAATTTACGATGACATATTAATTGTTGAACCAGATGAAGATTCATTGCTGTAAAATTTCAAAGTGCCCAAGTTTTTTAATAACAGCCACTATGCACATTCAGTTGCTGTGCCAGCAAAAAGCAAAAGCATAGGGATGTTGGCTCACAATCCGCTGCTTTTCCTTTCAGCAAATCTCGGAGTTAGGATGACATCACTGAGTATTGATACTTCTGATTGGTCAATTGGTGGCTATTACATATTTCACACTTGAAACTCACTGAGGCAACACAGTGTTGCGGTCTATGGGGAAATTTTGAATTATTGACTAAACTCTTAACCTTTACACCGAATATGCCTGAAATATCACTATTTATGTGCTATGAATACCGTATCTCCCACACTACCAAAAAGGTACAGTTATTTGTATCATGTTGCAGAAAAAAGGAGGAAAACGTGCAAATCCCTGTACAAAGTGAATGGAGAGTTGCCCCTTTGCCCAGACATGAGAACAACCTCCCGTTGCCAGAATGCCACTATCTTAAGGTAATTACCATTTCATCCTGGTAAGAGATTGGCGTTTGAGCAAGGGACCCATATTCATCTTCAACTTGGAATTCATCATCTGACGACAAGTCACCAGAGCTAGCTTTGACCTCCACTGTTATAGGATTTGTGTTCTTTTTCCCCAATATTCTGGGCATCTTGATAGACATTTTTTCCCAAGACTACTTTGGAGTCTTAAAAATCGTGAATTAGGCTATGTAGGCTAACTGGGATATAGGCTAAAATGTCATACGCTGCAGTAGTATGCAAAATGTAACTTCATGGCTAACTACAGTGTAGGCCTGCCTAAAGATTACATGTACATGTCGGTCACTCATCACAATCCCACCATACAAACACTATGGCAACTAGAAACACACACAATAGAAACCTCCACTTTTACTGTGACATAACTGATAGATTTGTGAAATAAGACGCTCAGTACGTGACCGCAATTGTGACGCCACCGGACGCCGGTCGTCACGGTAAAAACTCCGCAACAAACACGTTGCGATTGTCACGCTGCGCAGGAGCCGTCTGAAGGATGACTTCACAGAAAGCATATGACTCAAGTGTTAGCTACAAGGAGTCACTGTAAGAGGCTATGAATCAGGCATGAAAACAAGCAATTTTAGTTACTTTTTAGTCGTCAACAAGCCGACCTGTCAGCAACGACATCCACACAAAACAAACCACCCGTGCCGGGCTTCGGCTGTCCTGTCACTTCCCTCTATCAGTAGGCTATCACTTTTTTTTTATCAGAGACCAAGTTGCAATTCTTCCGTGATTTTGCAGGACAATGACTCGTAACGTGAGCAAAACCTATACGTAGATGCTGAAATGTTACAGCGTGAACGCTGAAAAAATGAAGTAGCACGTAAGGTTACACCGTAGCCTACAAATGCAGTTAAAGTTTGTTATGGGTTCAAGCTGTCGTTGTCAGGTTTAATGCGCATGCGCATATTATCATTTACCCAGACTCCACCGCAGAGGAGCCACAGTAAAGCAATGCAAAATATGTGCTTGGATCAGATTTACGGAGTTGACAGACTAGATGTTTGCGCAGCGGCCACGGTCCGGAGGCGGTCGGGCGCGGTGACAAGCCGGATAAGCGTAAGGTGCAGTGTCCCAATTCAAGGAAAATTCTCCGCCAGACAGAGGCGCATTAAGATTGCACCTATAGATTCTTCAAAAAAAAAAGGGGCCAGTTTAGGCCAAGAAATTGTGGAATTGTGTCAGTTTGGCCCAGAATCATCTCTATAGATTCAGGTGCATCCATTTGGGTGCAAACCAGAAAAAATGTGATTGAAAATTTGTCAGGAGAGCCTCCGAACGTGTGGAATGTCATTTGAAAAATGGCCGCTGAGCAGACTTACGACCATTCACTCTTTGGGGGGTGAGTTTGTTTGGGGCGAATGATTAAAAAATTCATCGGTTAACCTACTAAAAACAAATGAAATCTGAATCACCAAACAACACATTGTTTTTTGTTTGAGAGGCCTCAGGGACTTCAGTTGCCTGCCATGTGGCTCCAAACTTTGTTAATTTTACACTATTTTCAACGGAGCTTGAATTGGTTCAGTGCACCCACGAGGCGCCCTGTAGATATTCGTGTCTGGCATGGCGCAAGTGCGGCACGACCGGTCGGTAGATGGCGCTTCGTCTTATATATTTTACGTTTTCGTAACTACATGTAAATATTCTACGTTTTTGCTATTACATTTACAACTGGGGAAAAAGGGCTTTGGAAAATATTTGCTTGTATAGGTCCTATCAATGTATTGAAACTGAACTACCTGACTTAAAAGAGAAATATCCTGCCAACTATACTGACCCATCACTTCCAGAAACCTAAAATACACGAAGAATAGTGTAATGCGGTAGTATCGTACTCGGATGAAAATTTACGGTTTGAAATTTTATGGTAGTCTATCGGTAAAAACCAAAATACAAAGAGATCAAAATATTTTACACACTTTCTTGCTTTATGTTATGTAAATAAACGTAAGGCAGTCAGCTACTTTTACGAAAGATTCTACTGTTAATCTAACCTTTGCTGACAAGAACTGCGTCATGTCAACTGAAGTGAATATGGAACTCATCAACTGCGGGTCGGTAAATCTTTGCAACGTTGTACAATGTCGTTTTCACGTTAAGCACGGGGAGTGAAAACAAACGTGCATGAACAAGGAGACCTAGGTACAATACCGCCGGTAGTGAAAGGTCGTTAATGAAAATCGCTTTTCACCCATCTCCAAAGCAAAGGTAACATTCTAACATGAGGTGGTTCACGGGGTGGTTTCAGTTAGTAGGGAATCGTTCTTCCAAAAATTAACGAACGTGAAGGGGTGGCCCCATGTAAAAGCCCCAGGCAGACCGCGCGACGGTTCCGTAAGCTCACTGCGTGACCTTTTACCTCAAGCTCTATGCAAATATTCGTTTACCTAAGACTTTGTAACTGTCATTTTCTAGGATAATTGTGTAATCTCTTTTTGCGCCCGAAACTGCACTTTTGTACATGTGACTTTTTATTCTTTATTCCACCTTTGACAAACGACACTTAGATTCTTGCACAAGACTCTAGCAGGAAGTCATGTGACCTTTAAGATGGAGGATTCCAATTGGTTGAGCTCTTACATGACCGGCTCGTATTCGATTAATCCGTAAGCCTTCAGAAACATTTTGAGTAGCTCGTCGGTCAGGTGCTGCTGACCAAACCCTTGTGAGGAGCGAGTGCGGCGACTGGACCTTTTCCGAGAGTTGTACGGTAATTCCGAGAACCCATTCTTATGGAGAAGTGCAGTAACCATATACATGTAGTGCCCAGCTAACTTAGCTTGGACCGATGCAATTGCGTTGCGAACGAGCCCCAGGGTTCTAGTGAGATTTTTAACATCGTAGCGGCCCGTCACCGCTACGTCCGAACCGTTTGCCAGGAGAAACACCCCCATGTCCCTCGCCGTTCTGGTCCTGCTAACCAGCCCCGGTCCTCCCTGTCTCTACGCTGAGCCAATGGTGCATAGTGCGGCGATTCGATCATTGCACTCACCACATTCTAGTCTGAGTGGCAGTGCGGTGGATGCAACTTACGGCTGGCTCCGTCCAGCTGTGGCTAGTCACCATGGTGGCTTAGGACAGCTCCCACCACGGCCCAATGGTCTGAGTCTTGCGATGTATGCGATAAACTCTCTCTGTCTAACTGAATCTTCCAATGGTCCTGCCAAGCCGCATAGTTTAACTTCGCCTCTCATGTGTTGCACCATTATGTTAAGCTACACCTCCTTTGAAACCACATTGAACTGAAAGGAAGCAACAGAATAGCAATGAGGGTAATAGACCAGTTGTACAGTTTGACTGTCACCCTGACCCCTGTATCTCGCTCATCTTTAATAAATTGTTGACCCAAAATACCACATCCCATTATAAAACCCATTACTACCACCATTAGGGAACGCAACAATAAAGGGCAAATCACAAAAGCAATTCTCGTGATCTTTGATGTTGTGATATGAACAAAGTAAAAGTTTATATTGAAGATTATAATATGAGGTGAAAGGGGTTTGTGTGTGCAATAAACGAACTCGGAATTGACCTCATTTTCCTCCATGACGTCATTGATTAAAAAATTATCACGATCTCCACAACTGATTGGTCGCAATATTTGAGATGGTGGTCCAGTCATGATAGGGCAGTTGATGACAAGCATCAGGTAGGCCCATCGTATTAATTCATACACCTCGCGTTGCCATAGTGTTTAGTTAGCAAACATCGGTCTACCTGTCAGGGAATAATTGCCTTGAAACATCGGTACGAGCTTGCAGTGATCAACAGGCCCTCAAACGTGTACTTGATGGAGGAAGGAAAAACCTATTCGGTGGTGCTTGACAGTATATGCAAGGTTTTACCTCTGGCTATTTCCAGGTAAGATTTATACATAATAACAATACGCCAACGCCATTCGGTTAAAAATATTTGACTTGGCCCGGGCGAAAGTTATCGTTATTTGATCAAACACTATACGCACGTGGTCTTTGTGGCATTACTCTTCTGTATTATCTAAACATTTGATATCTAGCTCATTTCTACGTTTAAAAGAAATATATGCGATTGTTTGTGCTCCAGTAAAATAAGAAATACCAGTCATTTTTTTTTGTACAGCTTTCTTGGGCAATGGAAAATGTACCTTGCTTCTTACTTTGTCGTGTAAGAGATTTGGCATTGTATGACCACCTCTTCGATTTCTGCCGAACCCCCCCAAAAGCCACATCCTTGACAAAACTACAATATCAGTGCATCTGTCTGGCTGCCAGAAGTGTACCATGGAGTTCGCTCAATACAAAGGGCCGTTGTTCCAGTTATGTCTTGCCTGTTTCGAGCGTCATTGAGACAGAATTTTCAAGGAGTGCCTATACATGCCCGTGTTATGCATGCTTGTACTTTCTGTGGAAATTTCATTACCATATTGCAAACGATATCTAAATTCCTAAAAGGATGACATGGCGGGAGTGAATACTGCAAGATATAATAACGAACCCAAGCTAATTCGTAGCAGGAGGTCTACCTGCGCATTTGGCCATGACACGATCAGTTTATGCGATATTGCGTTAACGAAACGATATGTTTTAAAATGTGTTTGAGAATTATTTAAAAGGCGCGCAGATAAAAAATTATCGGTCACATTAGGTTGTTAGAGAGTTTACTTATGGCGGCAAAAGTATGTTGCAAGCAATGACTTAGTGCTTCATTTCTGTGCAATCTTGATTGGACTGTGTCGGACCAAAGTAAAACGCAAAATGTCGTTTCAATTTTTCCCCCCAAAGGATGTGTTTTTGATCATCGCATTGTTTCAAAACTCCTTGCGTAAGACGTCCTCATACCACCGAACCCTGTCGAAAATGACGTTTAAAAAAATATAACATCAACAAAAATGTCCTTGTCGGTGAATGTCAGCGGTAGAAGATTTCGGAAGCGCCGTGAAAGAATATGCCTGCATTGTGCTACCGCAAACCTCTACAACTAAACTGCTACCTTCACCATGAAAAGCTTTAAAGCTCACCAAATGAATGTTGTTTCCCAAATTCCGACCGGTACTATGCCCGTCTTCTTTTCGTTAATTATCTGTTATCTATTACTGCTGATATTGAACATACCCAAATGGAATGGAATAAGCTGTATAAATTCTAAACAGCCTTCTTATGTAACTAAAATGGAGGAGTAAAAGGAGTAGTCTACTGAAAGGCGAATAACAGCAGAATGAGCTTTTGTTGAGCTCAACTGAAATAAGTTGCCCTCTCTCTTTTTTCCTTCAGGCGTTTTTGCAGACGTTTGCCTAGGATGGCATGGATGTGGTCAGTGTCGGTTCCTCTTGTACTCAGCGTGGCTGTCCATGTACACTCGATTACACATTCCTTTGCCCAACGTCAGGGATTACCATGTAAGTTCATCTTGATCCTGATTATTTTTATAGAATGTATTATACATTTTTAAAAACTACTTTGCTCTTGCTCTTTTTATTCTCATTATGAACCATTTTGCAACGTGCAGTTCCTATTATCTTGCGAGCTGTATCTGATCAGAGATAAATTCGTTTTTTGCGAGAGCACTATGGTGATCAA